GGGGGGGGGTTCAGGAGAGAACGTAGGGGGGAGATAAAGGTTCCGTGATAACAATGGGCGTCTTTGCTTATTCTGGCGCAGTGTGTTGACTTGGCGGGGGGCAATGGAGGGCCCCGGGCCCGCCAGCAGCCCAAACAACATGCAACTGTACGCCGGGAAGTTTAACAAGAAGCCCAATGGAGCGGAGTGGCGTGGCGTGGCGGGGCAGGGGTGGACGAGCGGACGGTGGCGTGGGGATGATCCTCGCGAGCGCCTCTACTACTATACCCACGCGCCGATCATGGCGTTTTGAAAGAGATGCAAACCCTTTTTTTACAACGATTCGCGTGGGAGGGAGAGCGAAGGCCGTGCAGTGATCCGCGCTCTCTTGTCCCACACGCCGCCGCCACGACAGCGCACGTGGCACGACCATACAACGTGTATATATTGGCGTGGGCGCGAAAAAGCGGCCGTTTATATTTAGTCAGAAACCTGCTTCTCCGCTGATGTCAGCCCGTGCAGCGGCGCGTTAAGCGGCCGCCGCCAGCCATACGCGCCATACGGCCCGGCTACGCCGCCGCTCGTCTGGAATCGACTAATGAACTGTCACACGCCAGCGCGCCGCGCGGCCAGAGCGCTGCACGCCGCGATATGGGCGCCTGATGTATGTTGGCCGCGTTACATGGCACATGAGCAGGCGAGACGTGTTGTAGTACAACTCGCGGCCGCGGGCGGGGCTGTTATTTTATTAATCCCACGCGGACGTCACCGACGACGAGCACCTCTTGTTTACGTTTTTTTCTTTGGTTAGATTCCAACTTATGCTCGCGGCGTGTGGGACTCGGTAGAGCTGCCCTGCCCGAAGGGGTAAACGACTCTGAGATCTCGCGTATAACTTATAAGCCCTGGATTATCCCTGGATTACTCCAGGTTACCCCCGGATTACCTATAGATTTCTCCGGGTTAGCTACCCCTGATTACCTGCGGATCACCCCCGGATTACCCCTGGGTTACCTCCGGATCACTCAAGGATTACCCCCGGATCTCCCCGGATTAACAGAGGGCGCGCCCAGTGGATTACCCAGGAGCTCTCCCCTGACGAAACTGGCTGGCTGACACTCACCTGAAGGCTCATCGTCGTCGTCCTCGTCTGGGGAGGCGGCCGCCGAGTCCGGCGGGTTGGCGATCGAGTTGACGAGCAGGTCGCCGGGGAGGTCGCCCGGCAGGTCGCCCGGGCTGTTCCCTGGGAGGGTGTCGTCCGCGCCGTAGGCCACGCCGAAGGACCGGCCGCCGTAGGCCGCGCAGCCGGTCGTCAGGCACCCGAGAGCGGACAGGGCGGCCAGCAGGCGCGACCACCTGTAGACACGGAGAGACACACACACACTTAGTTCATGCAGGTCAGGTCTGGGCCGACAATCATGCGACAATAGACACCAAACGGTAGAAATACGCTAACAGAATCCACAATGGCACAGACGACAGTACTACAGTATATTGTTTGATAGACTTCAATGCTATGGTTGATTGTTGTTGCTAACCGAGCTCCGAGTTGATGCGACCAGTCCGTAACACGGAGGTAGACATGCACTTTTCCGCCATCAACAACGGTCAGCGGGTTTGGCCGCAATGTTAGATTTTGTCTATTTTTTGTAAGATACGTCATCAATATTCCTGATAACATCCCCAACTTGACATTTTGAACTTTTTAACTGGAGCTCGCGTGGTTGAGCTGTTGTATCTGCGGAGGGCGGCATAAGTGAACGACTTCAAACAGCGAAAAGTACGCAAAACAAAAGAGACAAAACATTTTTATAGTGACCCGTTTGATGAGAACCCCTCGTCACTTAACCACAATTTCACCTGAGCTATGACATCATCAATAATGCCTACCCTTAAAAATGACCGCCTCACCGCAGCAGCAAACCCGAGCAAAGAGTCTACTTTGGATGGTCTTATCGACCCCCCTGAGCCCCCTAGCCGGAGCGCCTGAGCCATGCGTTGGAGTGGGCGTGTCTGCGGGCGTGTGTGTGGTGTGTGTGGGCGCCCCCATACGCTGCTCTAATGGTTGATCTCCCCTTAAGGGCTTTTGTGTGAGGACAACGCTGCAATACAAACAATAACACAGAACGCGCGCGCGCGCCTGTTGTTAGTCATCACCATGGCAACCGAAAGTTGTTGAACAACAACAACAACACGACCTACGCGGTGTGCGCGGCGCGCGCTTGCTGCAGCAGTAAATGTGGCGTATAGTGTAGTGGCGCCCGTGTAATATCAATTGCGAAACGGGGAACAAATTACGGGAATGGCCCCGACCACCGCCGCCGCCGCGCTGGCCCCGAGGTCTGGCACGGAATCCCATCCCGGTCAGAGAGGCTGCGCACGACCACGGCCTCCAGGCCGTGGCCGAGGCCCCGGCTGAGGCGCACGGCCGCAGCTTGCGGTCGGGGCATTGACAGGTGACGCCCCGGGTCCGTACCCCGAGCCCAGCCCGTCCGCCTCAGACCGTGCGGTGCGGTGAGGTCTCGAGACCGGGGGCCGCAGGCTGCCGCAGGCGGGGGCTGAGGTCGATAGTTGCAAAGGGGCTCCGGGCTATCTACATCCCCGACAGCTGTAACGACATTCCACCAGCGCAGAGATTACCACCTCTTTGACAACCGCGACCGACTGGGGGCGAGGAGGCTGAGGGAGCTCGATGACGCAGAGCACAGTGGCACAAAAGCAAGGATGGCACAGCAGGTGGTGGCAGTCAATGAGTTGAAGAAGCAAGACAAATGATTGAGTGACGGAGTGATGACTCATCATCGACATAAACAAGGTATTAGCTGTGTCAAGACCAGCAATACAACTTTGACGCATAATTAGCATTCATTATAAGTGCAAATATACCATTATCATTCATGATAAAGTTACTCCCTGCTGTGCCTGCACTTAAAGTAGTTACAAAATATCACTAATGAGATGTTGTCTCATCAAACAGGTTGAGACCGAAGACCAAGATAATTGCAGGAACGCTCACTCTGCCAACAGAAAGCATGCACTGTGAGCCACCAAATACAATATGAATGATGTGATTAATATCTTTGACATGTAAGTTCTCTCATTAAAGACAAGAGTAGCCGTTGCCCTCAATTAGAAAAAGAATAATACACTAAACATTTTTATCACCATTGGAATCGCAAGCAGATTCCTACTACTTCAAGGAGTTTAATTCACATTGTTAGTGCGAGTGCTTTGTACCACTCACAACGACAAGTTGTCTCCTCTCTACACTTACTTGATCTCAGAGGAACACCGTATAACCTCTACGGTGAAGAGCAGCCTAGGCGGCGAAATTTCGACACAAACACTGTTGCCATGAGGGAATTGATTTGAGACACAGACTTCGACGAAACTCAAATCTCCATATTCACGATGGGTTCAATACAATACAAGCACAAGCACATGGAAGCTTCCAGAGAAAGACGATACGCGATACGCTAGCCAAGCCCATGACCATCAGACGACGAGCACGGCCAACTAGAGGGAATGCCCGAAAACACACTCTCCAAGATACCAACTTATGCATAACCAGTGTTGTAAAAAGTAACGGCGAAAAGAATAATTAACACTGATCGACAAACGCAACAAAAAATACACCGAAATTTCTGCAAGGATCACGATTTAACAAAACAACAGTGACTGCCAATAATGACAGAAAGTTCGCAACACAGAAGCTAGCAGGCGCAGAAGGGCAAACGAAATATGACTTGTGAAGTTTTTGGCTGAGTGCCGATTAGGATCCGCAACCAGATTTAGATTAATCGAAACTAAAGGACACGAGGCCATCATTCGGGATCGCCCCATGAAGCTTTTCCATTGTTGACACTATCATAGACGAAATTTTTTAAAAATACAACATGGTTTAGTCTGTGTCTAATGCCTTTAATTTGTATCATCACGTAAGCCATATTGTGTTGTATCCTCTCTTTCGGCAATTTTTCCACTCCGAAATCTTTTATGTCAACGAAATGTGAGTTGTTCGTATATTTCGGAATGTTGACATCACTTCCCGAAAACTAATCGTTTGCCAAATGTTAAATGTCATATAAAACAATATTTTTGAAAAACTGAACCCTGTATGTCCTTGGCGGAGCAAACAAAACGAATTGGCAATGGTATATGCGAATGTAAACGTCGATTTTACGGAAAATTAACTTTTTTATGATTGACAACATGTGAAGTATCATTTCATAATGTTTATCAAACTGATTTAGTGGAGGCGTGTTCCAATGATAAAAAAAAGTTTACAGAAACAGAATCAGACCAGACGGACCAGACGCAAGAAATTGAATGACACATTCCCGACTTTCATTACATATTTTCATCATTGACAAGCACCGCGCGGCAAGAACATTATACCGCTACTGTTCTTGCCGCGCGGTGCGCAACTTGGAAAAGAACAAAGTTGACACATTCACATTAACATTAAGGTGCCGCACTACAGCCTTCTAAGTGCTTGAACTTCGGCTAGTCATACTTGTGTGTAATATGTCGGCCTACTTGTCTATCTAGTTTATCTAGTTATATTTAAGTGTTGTTTACCCCTGGCGTTTCTATGACACATGTCAAAATGCAAAATTATTAA